CGGGTTAAATAGCTGCAAAATATGGAATTATCGAAAAATTACCAAAAATAGCAAAATCCTAATGATCACGCCAAAAATAAAATATGAAACAAAAGAAGTAAGTTGCCAAAGAGAGATTTCCGGATTGGGGTCATAATAGCGATTCTGATAATCGTAACCAAAGTTATGGCCAAATTACCAAAGACATGTCAAAATTACCCCAATTAAGGAAAGATTGCATTTATTTTCCATTTTTGCACTTATCCGTCATCTCATGGTATCTCAGCGCCATCAACGAACTATCTAACAGATCAGTGTCATTCGACTCGGATCCTCTTACTTCAGATTTCTAGGTTGTTGAGGGTATCACTTGCCCTACTCATCCCCAAGGTTTTCTCAACGATGAGTAGCTGTGATTTTTTATCCGGAGTGAGGCTCGTATGCTTCCAACACGTGAAAAGCATCAGGTATGTCATGTGCTTTCATGGTGATACTTAAAATGAAGTATAAAATCTGTCTCGTTGGGCATTAATTATCATTTCAACAGTGCATTTAACGTTATGATGAATTTGTGTAATGACACATGTCACTCTAATTTGACTTATCTTTAAACAAATCTATTAGTATCAAAATCTATCAATGTAAGGTCCAGTTCAATCATTGTTAGGAGTTTTTGAAAAATAATAAAAGGGTGCCGAAAAAATGGATGCTAAAGAGATTCATGAACATTTTTAATTAAGTGATATATGTTAATTAAAATAGGAAGTCAATATAGGCAAATACTTGAAAATGTTATTTCTGTAATATCATGATTATTCGGGGTAGTTAGTTATATTACTACCAAGAATTTAGTTTAATTCTAAATATTTTTTTCCACTTGCATAAATGATTCTAACTATAAGTACATAAAAAAATCACACTTCTTAATATCTTTAGAGAGAAATTATAGAAAAAGTCCACCATCAACGACTTGCTTTTCAGCGGCATTTTCTTCCTCTCACTCAGTGGAGCAGTTATATTTTCCCTCCTGGCAGTGATTATGGTGAATCATTTGTTTAAAAGTAGGGATAATCAAAGATTGCATCAAGGATTAATGGTTGAGTCTCGTCTACCATTAACTTCAACCATCAGATGTCATGGTGAGCTGTCCAAATTGAATACTCCTCAATATAAGCCCGATCTTCCTTCGAACGATAACTTAGGATTTTTATGTTATTTATCTACATTTACTGGGTATCACTTTCCCTACTCATCACCAAGATTTTCTCAACAATGAGTAGATGTAATTTTCTTATCCATAGTTAGGCTCATGTGTTTCTGGTGCATGAAAAGCATCACAAATGTCATGTGCATGCATCATGATATTTAAAATGATGTAATCTGTCTTGTTGGGCATTAATTCTCTTTTTGGCTGCACGTTTAACGTTACTATGAAATCGCATCATTACACGTCACATTTCAATTAGCTTTGAAAAACCTGCTAGTATCAAAATTCATCAATGTAAGGTCCATTTCAATTATAATCAAGAGTTCTCCAAAAAAGATTATATAAAAGAATCAGGATTATCCATGGTAGTTAGTCACCAAGAATAATTGTAAATGTTTTTTCCTCTTACATAAATGAGTCTAGCTATAATTACATAAAAAAATACACACTTCTTAATATTTTTAGGCTGAGAATTTATTTTTTTCCCCCTGTTTCCACCATAATCATTAACTTGATTTTATTTTTACCCTCAGAAGCAATGGATGGATGCAACTTTTTTACACCCAGCGGCATTTCTTCTTTTCTCCTGATGGCACATTTTTATTTTTCCTGGTGGTGATAATTATTGTGACCTGTTTTGTTTTAAAAGTGTAGATTAACCATGATATGTTCAAATTATTCACCTTCAGTTCCAAAAATTCCCCGAAAACAACCTGCTTTTTAAATGGATGGATAATGGCGATAAATTAAAGAAACTTTCAATATATTAATTAGTAATAACTGATGTGCCTATGCATGAGTCGTATTATCTGCATGAGTATGTGGGGAAAGAGAGGTATAGGACATCGGAGGAGTGGGGCCGCCGAGAAGAATTACAATGGGGGAGAGAGAAAGGTTAGTACTACTATGCTTTTTCTTTTTAATTTTTTGCTATTTAATTTATTCAGCTAGTGTTAAAAGTTTAAGATTATTATTGTGCATTTAGCGAGATATTGCTTTAGTTATGGTCTGTAAACAAACAAAATTGAGTGGCGATATGATTCCCCTTGACTTAAAAAAACTCTAGAGCATTTTCATCCTTCCACAACTATTTTCAGTACCTACAGTGGCAGTTCTCGTAAATTAATATTATCGAGGCCTGTTTACAAAGGTTTGAAAAGTATATATAATATGGTCAGAAATCCTTTTTCTCCTTCTATACATCTATATTATTTTTGAAACCCTAGCCATTTACTGGAGTGTTGAGCTTTGTTCAGAGGATCACTTGGAGGAACTACAAATTGTAAGTTTTATTGAGATCTTTGCTTGTGCGTAGATGATTTTATTTATTAATTTTTTTTTTTCAAAAATCAACTTTGCTAATGGACTTTCTTTAAAGGAAAAGTAGGTTTAGTCCGCAAGGTTTACTCCCCCTTGTAGAATTTAAGTGCTATCCAGCTCTATGTTGAATTCAGATTCTCTAATCTATTTAACTTTTATTTATCTTTTTGAAAAATGGATATAAAGAATCTACAGTAGAGAAATTAAAAATAAGTTTAAAATTGAGACCAAACTGTTGTGGAATGTATAGAATTGACAGCAATCGGCTTTTTAAATCATGTGATCCAGTTTGCTATCTAGCTGAATGTGTCATAGGCACTTCTTTTTGTTACGGTTTTTTATCCATAGTTTTGCCTAAAAGAAGCTAGGTTTTCTTTCAAAATATAAACAAATAGGTGAACTTCCTATAGAATTCACTTACCTTTTAGGACAACTACAATTCAAGTGAAATTCCTGTAGAATACATCAAGAGAAATTCAATCGATCATCCTTTACAACAACCAAAAAACTGCTATAATCTAATGTTAGTCACATATTTGGGTTTTTTTGTCGTACATTGACCATTAGATGCCAAATCTACCTAGGGATTATGCTCGGCATGCTTTCTAGCCTGTTGTTAATTAATTGAACGAAATGTTGCTAATAAATTACTGATTCTTGTTATTAGATAAATTAATGAATTTTTATTTTTTTTTTATACTTGCTGACAAAATTTACATTCTTTCTATTAAATGAATCTATTAAATTAACTACTTTGGGGAGTTTAATGACGGATTCTTGCAAGCTTGATTCTATGTTATATAAACGTTGTTCGTTCAGTTTATTTGCTTTTGTGTTTAGTTCTAGCATAGTTGTGAGTTGGAATGTGGGGACACTAAATGACTTCTACAAATTTGTTCGTAAATATATGTGTTGACAAAATTGGAAAAAATAAAAAAGGCTTTGCTAAATATGCGCTTATATGAACTCTGAAAAATCTAAAGGGAACTATGTGTGTATTTATAATATATTTTGTTGCATTTACTATTTTCTTGTCGCTTTTCACGGACAAATTTGTTTAGGCTCAATCACTTGAATCTTGATTCAAGATTTGTGGTAAAATATATGTGTTGACAAACTTGGAAAAAAAATAGCTTTGCTAAATACGCACTTATATGAACCCTGAAAAATCTAAAGGGAACTATGTGTGTATTTATAATCTATTTTGTTGCATTTACTATTTTCTTGTTCGCTTTTCACAGACAAATTTGTTTAGGCTTGATCAGTTGAATCTTGATTATTCGTATATTTAGATGCCAGTTGCATTTTCTGCATGCTGCTAACAGGTAAAGATATGAAGATGGCAAATACTGTGGACTTGTTCAAGGGCTACAATCCTATAACCAGCACACAAAGATTGGTATACATGTATATCTGTATTTCTTTGTTTATTATTATTATTATTTTCTAGTTAAAATTAAATTTCTATTATAGGGATCCTGGTTTTTGCTCTTAATTAAAACTATGTTTTGTCTAGTTTTATCTCATTTTAACCCAAAGGATTTCATATGCTTATTATTTTCTAGCATGTGCAGTTGCGGTGGAGTGTAATGAAAATTTGTGTGGGTGTGTTTATTTTTTGCCTTCCTATCGTGTCAATGGAAAACTGGAAGTTGTTAGAAAGTAAATAACTTTAGGTCAAAAAGACTTGTTATGCCGAGAATTATTAAAAAATAGTTTATATACCATGAAGACAACATCAAAATATACGTTACTAAAGCAAGCTTGTGATATTATTTAACGGATACCACTTAGAATTCTCTAATCAACATAAAGTGATATGGAGTTGATCCCATATCAAGTTTGTAGAAGCATGCTTTGGAGCTTGAGAAATTAATTGGTCTTGATATTTTAATCTTTTATGGTAGAGAAAGCCACACTGCTCTATTCAATAAGAATATATCCGTGCAAAGATCTAAACATTAGGTTCATGACATGCCAAAAAATCTCAGTTAAGAAACTATGCATTAAACTAGAAATTGTTGGAAATAAAAAAATTATGGGATGAAAGACTAGAGAGAAAAATTCAGAGAATTCTCAAAAATATTTGTATTTTATGGCTTGGTTAAATAAAATGTCTCAAGCACAAGGCCTTTTATAGGTACAAAAGATCCCAAATACATTGTATGAACTTAATAGACTAATTAATGACTTTTCCTACATACTATAAATAATAGGATACAAAGAACCATTTGGATACATGATTTAAATAAATGCACGAATATTAAATAAGTTAATTCATGTATCAAATTTAGTTTTTTTCGTCATTCATGAATCAAGTTTAATTTCCAATAGAAATGACTCTTTAACGTATAAAGAGTTTCGCTCAGATCTAATTCCATTTAACTTATTTCTCGTAGGAACTTCCAACAGCCTTTAGTTTACAATTCAAAGGATCTCCACCAGAGAGGGCATATCTAATAGACTGAAATAGGAATTTGTGGATTGTGAAAGTGGCCAAAATTGGAAATGACATTTTTTTTTTTTTTTTTTTGTGATGGCCGGGAGATATTTGTTCAAGATAACTCGGTCGAGGCTGGGGACATCTTTGTGTTTCGATACGATGGTGTGAAACTACTAGGGTTATCAGGTTGTGATAAGAAGGGTTTCGGACATTCAACAAATGAAGAGGGTGAAGCACCAGCGGAGAAAGTGACTCATGGTTAGTTCCACAAATTTTTCTGCCCATTTTTCCCAACTGATTTGGTATATTTAACTTTCAGAATATGATTTCTTACTAATGGTATTGGTTGGTTAAGGTCAACCCATTCAATGTCCTGTCAGTCCTTATGGTGATGACATATTCAGATCAGTTTTGGCTATACGGCCAAGAAATCCTTACTTTGTCACTAAAATTGGGAAATCGAGGCTGGATGATTTGGTAAGATGTCCATTAATGTTCCTAAATTGACTTCAGTTTACAAATTAGTGATAATTTATCGTGGCAGTATATCCCCATAGAGACAATCAAGGACTTCCAATTGGACAACCTATCTGGAGAGATGTTTCTCATTGATCCACAAGACAGAAAATTTCCAGTGAAGATTATAAGATGGAAGGATGAGCGGGTGTGGTGCAGCGGAGGCTGGAAAAGTCTCTGTGCAGTGAACTTTGTACGACAAGAAGACACATGCATCTGTGAATTTGTGGATGGTAGCTTGAGTATCAAATTTGTCCGAGGAAATATTTGAACGACTTCTGAACATGTATTTTGCATATTTTTGGAGCTATTTAAATTTTGATTTTATTTTTTCATTATATTATGTCATCAAGTACAATTTGTTAGCACTTCTATATAACGCTATTATGATAATTCTTGATGCTCTATTTTCTTTTCTTTTCGGCATGCTGGTGTCAACAGCATTTGTTGTAAGATCAAAGTAGAACTTGTATCCCCAACAAATTCTTAGTTTTTAAAACTTTAATTTTATTAGGTCTGTATTTGAGCTTATATGAGGTTTTGATAGCAAAATTCCCTTATTTCATTCAGTAGACATCCGTGTATACCAAAATTGAATGCTTGTGGTTCCTGTGTAGGAAAAATTGAACTGTGGTCTAACTGTCGTAATTTTCAAAATTTAGAGATCTCATGAGAAAAAACAGACTCTAATAATTTTGAATCAAACATATGTGGCTCGATGTATTAAAGTTTCAACTTACAATTGGCAGATTTATAGGTTCTATATTTACTTGATAGATGCCAATAGGACTATAGGACTGTCCAATAAGTATAATGGAATTGACTAATTTAGAACAGAGAGAGGGACCTATTTTAAGCATTGTAAATGCTGTACAATGTTCAAGTATTCTATAGAGGAGGCGTATTCTCTTGCTAGCTCCCTTAGTGAAATAATTTGTCAAATTAGTAAAAAATTATCGTAGTATAACATCTTTTAAACTCTCTAACCTTCCGAAAAGAATTGGACTAATGTGAACTGGTTGTATTTCCGCATCTACATATCCCTAAAAGAATAACACCCAACACTGATAATGTGTACACACGCTTGGCAAGTTCCTCCACTTCGATAAGTAGGACGGTTCTTATACTCACCATCCAACAGTAAGTCCTTGATCACTGACCGTACATAATGACGCTATGATTAGATTTTAGTCAAATTGAAAACACAAAATGGCAAACAAGGTTATGTATTAGATTGTAGTCAAATTCAAACTGCAAGTGAAAAATCTTCTCTTACTCGGCCCCAATTTTACGCTAAAATTTCAACTTTAAAATAATGATAAGCAACCATGCTAATGGATTGCCATTAAATGTCAGACTGATTTCTTGCATTGACAAAATGCAAAACATAAAGAGGTTTAGTGAGTCATTGGCCATCTTCAAGTAACTAATTCTACATTTGCCCAATATTTGAACCTCGTACAAATCCATTCAGGTAGAAATTGCGAAACCTTTAGAATCATACGTTAACTATTCTTGTAATAATATCATGTAAAACAATGGGCAATAGGATAAAACTAACAATGCATCTTCATCCAGTATGGATCCCGTCTTTATAGAGGCCTGTCAGAGCCCTAGTCCTGCCGTCCACAAAATGAGACCTGACACAAGAAATTTTGGACGAGAACGAATGGGCATCAGGATGGTTGACACCTACAGTTATTATGCTTACACTGCTTTGTTTTTGTGAAAAAAGAAAATTCCCTGGTGGCTTTCCAAACAGACAGCTATGGCACGATGCATTCTCTACACGCCGAATGAGAACCAGGATGCCGACCTCCACTTCAACCAAATTTTTGTCTCTTCACTGTAGTTCATTACCTTTTGCATTAATTTAGTCCTAATCCATGTTTCTCATGTCTCAATAGAACCATCAACACATATCTCTGACCCCGATTGGTGGTTACTGTGAATTTTAGCATATATTGTAAAAATATAATCATTTGCTCAATATAAGTCACCTGTATTTACAGAGTTCATCCCAGTATGATCTACTATAGGTAGAAATTTCAAAAATTTTGAAAATGTTAAAAAAATTTACTATTCTGTTCAGAGTATGATGTACAAAATTCTGACTTTTGAACCTCCCCAATAACAAGGTGAAATGTAGCGACAATTCCTAATTTGGTGAAGGCAATTTTATCAAAATTCTCCCACTTTCATGAGCTAGTAAAACAATTATATTCATCCAGGAGAGAATTTAGCAACCCTTCATCTTGTTCGGGGTAGTAGAACTCCTGTTACTTACTTGTTAGTGACTGGTATCAACACCCATGAACATTGTTACTGGGAAGCATCATAGTATTGTGTTGAAGATTATGTCGAGGATTAATGATTGAATTCACACCTGTAATTAAGTACAACCATCGGAGGCCGCAGCAAGTTGTCCAAGTTGAATGCTCCCCAAGATAAGCCTGATCTTCATTCGACAATCAATTAGGATTTTGATGCCGGGTAGGATAGCGATTATCCTATAGGCTAGTTGTAACAGACAATTCGCAAGAAAGAAGAAGAAAGAAACGCCAAAAAAAAGAGAATTCTCTGAAAACTTCACTCAATATTATTAATAATCAAGAATGACGAAAATTAACTCACAAGCCGGGTTAAATAGCTACAAAATACGGAATTATCGAAAAATTACCAAAAATAGCAAAATCCTAACGATCACACCAAAAATAAAATATGAAACAAAAGAAGTAAGTTGCCAAAGAGACATTGCTTAGGATAGTTGGATGAAACCATTGGAATTTGATAGTCTCATTGATTAGATATTGAACAAACTTAAAATCTTGTCGATATGATATTTGTAGAATTTTACATGTCACTTTAAGTAAACTACGCTAGGTTACCTTCCAACCCGAGTTGGTACGAGGTTTCGAAAAATATTTTAATGCCTTATATGTTGCCAAAGGAAGCCAATTTTTGGATATGTCATATTATAAGGATTTTTCTCCTTTACATTAAATTTTCATGAAGTTTCGACTTTATAGTTATGCAAACGAATTTATTTTGACAATATTTTTAAATTTTTTGTCTAGAGTTTTATATCAATAATAGATAAATGCATGGTAACCATTCTAAAGACATTTTTTTGAATTTTTTTCTTTTAGTATTAAATTATGTTGTCTTTTGAGAAAAAAAATGATTGCTTACCTAGTTTTTTGTGCATGCCATCGTTCACGTAAATAGTAGAATTTGCATGAACTTTGTTCAAATTTTCAGTATCATTTCACTATTTTTGCTATTGTCCAAAAGTGACGTTACTTCTAATAAATAATTAGATGATCACTTAATATGAAATGATGTTAGAATAAAATAATTCTTGAAATAAATTCTTAATTAAATCTTTATGCTTTCCGCTAAAAGTATAGTTATTTATTCTGTTTGCAGCTAACGTATAGTAAATCTAGCCACGTTTCGATCCATGTGGGTCGAGGGGCTACAACATGGTATTAGAGCATGAGTTTAGTTAATTCTGTAGGCTTAGCGTATTTTGTTCAAATTTAATACTTAACTATAAGGTGGAAAAAATTAAAGATAAGAAAAAGAAACATTAAAAACACTCCATAGCATTTCACATCCATTAGTCGACCTCATCTTACAACCTAGGTATGTTTAGCTAAGCAAAGTTAAAATCTTTATTATGAAAATTCATGATTCTATTGTTATTTTTTTCATGTTACAATACATTCCACATTTTCTTACGTATATTTTTATATGCAAAAAATAAATGTAATTTGAAAAGGAAAAGGTGTTGTTTAAAATACAAGTGTTGGGCTAGAAATTAAAGTTGTGAATGATAGATGGCTGGTAGAAGACAAAATGCTAAGAGCAAGAATCAACTTAGTCAACAAGAGAGAGATATTCAAGCTTACCTTGATTTTGAGGTAGACGACACTTTAGACCTTGACAATCACATACGAAGCATGTACCAATATTGGCTGAGAGGAAACAATGAGGGTTACCATATTAGTGATAGACAAGCAATAGGTCATCTACTAAAAACTCTCGCACCTTGTGAAAAAAGGGATCAGGAAGCTTATATACGAAAATATGCTATCCCAAAATTTGGAAAGTGAACCTAAGGAACTTGACTTCGAGGATTTTTGCAATGCCCATATCCATAATTGGAAACTATGATTGGTGACGTTATCTCTGACTCGAGATTCGAATTGACAATGACTTCAGATGATGAAGTTACACAACCAATTGTAACACATACTAACAAAGAGAAAGATGAAAATCCAGAAGAGGGCCCAGAAGAAGACCAAGAGTAAAATGAGTAGAGACTATGGAGATTACTCATTTATTTAAAAAATCATAATAGTTGAATTGTTTTTCCTATTTCAAGATGTAGTCATCGAAAAAAAACATGTGATCAAAGTTATGAAGTTTTTTCTTTTCCCTTTCATTCAAAGTATTCTGATATTGATATATTTAATAAAAGATACTATTTCTTATTTCATGGAAAATGTATCAAGCAAACCAAAATAACTTGATAAGGGACCTCCTGCAAACGGTTCAAGACCTTGGCAGGCTGAATCAAAGTCAAGTTCTTTCCACACCACCAGCTCCTATTACTCTCCCAACCCATGCGTTGGTAGTTAGTTATTTCGAAGGCATATGCTTCCTACCTTTGATGGAGCATCCAGTCCACTAGCAGTTGAAGAATGGCTTCATAAGTTAGAATGATTTTTTTCGACTCATAAACTGCACTAACGCCCAAAATGGTCCAGAGTGCAAGGTTTTATGTTTATTGGTAATGCAAGTCAATGGTGGGATTTATGTCTCGAACTAGGGATTCAGAGCTGTAATTGGCATTAACTTGGGAACAATTCAAGGAAAAAGTGATGGACAAGTATTTTCCTCAGTCTTTAAGAGATTACTAGAAGAACGAATTCCTTTAGCTCAAACAGTAATATGTCCCTGACTAATTAGAGCAAAAGTTCGATCAACTCTCAAGGTATGCTCCACACTTGGTTGACGTGAAAATTAAGAAGACTCGAAGATTTGAGTAAGGGTTAAACCCAAACCTAAGCATGATCCTTATGTTACATCGTTTCACATCATACAATGAGATGCTGAAATAAGCTCATGTTGTTTGGTATCAGAAGGCTAATGCAGAGTGACACGGTCATTTGTACAACCAATAGGATAAAGGTCAAATTGGAAAGAGAAAGTGGAATGGTCAAGACAAAGGAAAAGGCAAATGGTAAAACAAGAAAGCTAATATCGGACCTAGTGCCAATAAAGGCAT